ATATATATATATATATATATATATGTATATATATATGTATATATATGTATGTATGTATGTATTATAGTTAAATCTGTTCAAAATTGATGTCGCCAGCTTATTTAATTTTAATTTCTCACAACAATTGTTGTACTAGCTATTTTCTTAATTAGGTTTATATGCATAATAAATTATACGCATGGTAATTGAGTAAATGGAATGAAAACAATTAATATTGAAATTTATTTGCGCTTGTCCGTGTGTAACATTTTCTACGTGTGAAACACTTACAGAAAACGTTATTTATGTATTTCTGAGGAATAAGGTTATTTGACAATGTATAGGATTCTTTAATAATATATAAGGTTATTTAATCGTTTCTAAGATATACATCCTTAAATACTTTTTATACAAATAAATTATATTTGATAGTTATATATAAAAAAATAGTGAGCTTTTGTACCTCGGATGATTAAAATCATATATAGATTCCTGATTGAAATGAAATAATATTACAATATTGAAAGCAAATATGTTATTGTTGGCACACCTAATACTCTTTCCACACTTTCACCTCATTTCCGCAGAAAAAAAATGAAACTAATAATGGCAGTGAGTTAGGCCATGAAGAATCACAAAAAAGGCCATTTGAAGGAGAAAAAGATAAAAAGGAAACACCAAAAACATTCAGAAAGCTATGACAGGAAGTTGTGGTGAATGTGTATTCAACACTTTGGAAGATCAGCTGGTGGGGGAAGCAGCTTCTGAGTTGGAAGTTTTCCATCCAACACTATCCATGCCATCTTTAGACCCCAGCTCGTGTGCACTTCAAGATGACAATGCATGAACCATACCCCTGCAATCCATGCATTATTTATAGTCAAAATCTTAGTATTCTTATATTATGTTGGAGTATTCATTTTATGTCTGTGTTGGACCCTGTAACTTTTTGTGTATTTTGTGAGGAACCGTTTCAAATAACTGTTAGCCCATAATTAACATTACAGAAGGGAATAAGATCACTTACCTGGGTTATCTGCTAAGAATCTGATAGCAACCCATCCACCGGAAGGGACACCAACTGTGTTTCTCTCAACGGGATCAACAAGATTGAAGTTTTTTGGGTCCTTATTTGGGTCAAAGTTCCCAAAACCTTGACCAACAACAAAGAAGTTAAAGCCATGCAAATGGAGAGGGTGACTTTCGGCACCCAGAATGCTGGTGTCCTGCATCACAAGCTCTACACTGGTGTTGAAGGGAAGAACCAACACTTTTGTTCCATTGCTCACCATGGTGTTGTTTGGAGGGGTCCCAGTATAGTTGAATGGAAGCAATGGTTTAGTTGGAAAGTCAGGGGTGTAAACTCCATTGGATTGGCCAAAGAAGTGTGCTTGAAGAAGAGCAGTGGTTGGTTGTATATAAGAAACATTGTTGATTGATGCTGAAAACTTTGTTGCATTGGTGGGTCCTTGACAAGTTTGGTTTTTCTGGCAGGGAGTTGTGCCAAGGCCAACTGTGAAGAAAAACTGCTTATCTACTTTCTGGGGAACATTTGCAGGAAACCGAGGGCTTGCCAAGCTACGAAGCTTGCTGGCGAAGTTTGTTGCAAAAGAAGTGTCATTAAGTGCAGGGAGTGTAGGCTTGAAAAGGTTCTTGAGTGAATTTGTTGAGTGCAGAGAGTGAGGTGGAACTTCATATTCAAGGATCCCAGCAACAGTTGAGTTGTCAAAAGTTCCCTGGCCAGTGGCATATGGTCTTGCACTCATGAAGAATGTGGCATTGGGGTATTTGGATTTGGTTTTCAGAAGAACATTGGTGGTTTGTCCAGGAGCAATGAGAATGGTGTCAGTGTCAAATGGCTTAACATAGATGGCATCTACGTCAACTACTGTGAGAGTGTGATTTGCGATGCTGAAGAAGAGTTCGTCATTGAGTGCAGCATTGATCAACCGAAGAAGGTATGTCTTCCCTGCCTTCACCTTTAGCTTGAACGTATCTGAAAAATACCAATATTTTCATTTAGAATCACCTCTTCAATTTATAATAAGGGATATGGTAAAGTATTATTGATAATTTTGAAAATTAGTTAATGTGAGGTACTCATGTGACCACTCTTGTATATACCTTTGGAAGAACAGTTATACAATGGCCCTGGAAGTCCATTAATAGTGTAGGCATCAGACACATTTGGTCCTCCTCCTGTTTGCAATGCTTGTGTTATGACTGCCTCTGGATCTGCATTCCACCATTCTCCTGAAAATTTTTGTTACATGTCAATGTTAACTTCATTCTTAAGTACATGCAGGTATTATAGGAACATTATGGTGATGTCACAATCACATTTGAGTTATTACCAAAGATAATGGGAACTTCCTTGTAAGGTTTGGTAAAAGGATATGGAACTCCTTGCTTGGGTAGAATGATGATAGGACCATACACAGTTGATCTTAGCCATGAAATGTGGGCATGCCAAAAGAGTGTGCCTCTCTGACCAACAATGGTGAAATTATAGACATAGCTTTGGCCTGTTTGAATGGGGCATTGAGTCACATAGGCAGGTCCATCAGCCCACCCTGATCCTAGTTGTCGAATGCCATGCCTATTTGGAATGTAATCAAGTTTTTTTAGTGAAACTTCAACTTATAAACCATGTAATACGTTCAATATTCTCTTCTTAACTAAGTTTTCCAAAGAAAAAAGATTTTACCAATGGATGGAGATGTTGTTCTGAACATGGTTAACCACTTTGATAAGAAGACGATCACCCTCCCTAGCAACTATGCGGGGCCCAGGAAACAGACCGTTCACTGTGACCATGCTCTTTGTGTGGCACAGTCTCGAAACATTCTGGTACTTTATCTACATAAAAAATAAGTAATTATGAGATACAAAGCACACATAATGGGAAAAGTATGCCGAAAAGAATGTTAACTTCAAATGACTTTTGCTTTTGAAAACGTAAGGTAGCTTAGATAAAGATATCAAGTCCTTTCGAGATATGTACATCAAAATGGTAGTGTCTGGTAATGCCCCCTACTGCAAGCTGAGGGATGATGATCATTGAGAAGAGAAACAACATTGCTGGTAATGTAAATGATTGTAGAGAAGGAGCACCCATGTTTCTTTGTTCTAGAGAGTGCAAGACAGAAAATGGAAACTTTACACACTGTTGTTTGTGTATATGAACTGTGGATGATGTAGAACTCATTGGTAGGTCATTTATAGAATGATAGCTTGTGGTTGTTGAAATTTGTAGAGTCTTCATAAGATCTTCAAGTGTGCTGTTTTACATTTTTTTAATGAGATCAGTTGTTAGAACAACTCTAGAGTGGTGTCCAAGACAATCTATTCACTTGACCATTTGAATTCTTGTAGAAGACAAACAGTTTTTGAGATTTGCCTCTTTTGATACCGATCTTTTGGAACTCATTGAGAACATAGTGTGTTAAAAGTGACATATTCAAGTAAAGTATGTTCAAGTAAAAAGGAACTGGTTACTTATTATTATGATAGAAAAAGTGAAAAGGTGAAATAAGCAAACATAGCACATAAAGGAAAAGATATTGTAAACTTTTCAGTTCATCATGCAATTCTTAACTTCAGTTTCCCATAGTCTTTTTTTGAATTAAGGTTATATCCGTATATCCCTTATCTGACATAATGGAATTTTTTTACCACAGTTTTAGAGCAGTTTGAAACCCCAAAAGCAACCGACATTGAAGCTTCATTATGAGGAGAAAAAGCTTGAGAAGTTTTGGTGAGATGTAACTCCCACAACCAATGTTCTTGGAGCCAAAGTAACTGATAAGATGATCCTATCAAGTTGTCACTGTATCCTCGTTGTTTTCCACATTCTTTGCATAACCACAAACTACAATACAGATAACATTCATGCCACAGCAAGGAAACCACAATGAACTTAACTCCCTTTCAAGAAAACATGCTAAGTCGTAATCTTAGAAAAACAAGATACAACTATTTTTTTCATTTCTATACACTTAAACCCCTACACATACACCTATCACTTTAAGAAGATAAAAAAACAAAATTCAACCACCCTCAGTGTCCCCACTATAACTATAACTGTGTCCTCTATTTTCTCCAAAATGGTAGGTGTAAGGTAAGTTGCATCGGTTTAGATGTAGAAATAACATGGTTGAAATCATACAATTAACCAAATTGAACATTTACGTTGCCTTAACTCCTATCTTTATCACGCAACCTATCTCCTTCTGTTCCAAGCATACGTACATAATACACTGTTCAAATCAAATGGTTGTATTTGCATGATTCATTAATTTAAGCATTTCTTCTTCATCAAATTTACGTTTTAGTATCTCTGCGTGATCAGTTTAGTTGAACATATGAGATTGTTGTGTCAGTGGATGAATGGCTTTTCAGTTTTTAGATTTTACAAAGGAAAGTATAATTGATAATGTACGGCACCGCATTCTCCTTCATTGTGCAGAATAACTTGGTTCTGATGTTCATGACCACTCTACATAAACTAGAACTTTTAGTATTATCATTTTAAACAAATAACTTTTTTCCATAATCTAATCAAGATTTATTAGCATTAATCTATATATTTATACAGTCTTATCATAAATTACATTGTTGGAAACCATGAAGGCTTCGTAGTAAAAGAGTTAAAGTCGAGCAGGGAATATAAACATGACTTGGTTGCCTCCTAATGAAGTGACTAAAAGGTGAGGGAATCTAGCTTTAACCTTCCACACGACAACTGATTAAGATTAGTCAGAGATACTTTTCGTTAATGAAAACAAAATTAGCTCTCGTGAAGGTGAGGAATCATAAGTAAAATTAAAGGAATATTTTTCAATAAAATATCAGAACACACACACACACACATATATATATATATATATATATATATATAGCTATGACATTTTAAAGATTTAGGAATATGCACTTTATGGATGGATCAAGCTAAGAATAAAAATGCAGAATGTCTTATATATTCCATGTTAAGATGAATAAGTGCATTGTGATTCAAAGTGTAAAAATGGAGATGTTGATGAAGATCATTGGAGGGCAATTTATTTTCTGTTGTGTGTTTTTCCATGTTCTTGTTGCTGGTGGTGAGAGTCTAGAAGCACCAGAACTTAAGGTAATTAAGAATGTCCTTTTCTTTTGTTTTTAACAATATTACGTATAAGTTTTGTTGTTTACTAGGATATATATATATATATATTGAAATCATTCTTACAAAATTAAAGCAATAGGTTTTATTATTTGATCATAGTTAAACACCTTTACAATTTTCTTTATTTGTTACATTAATTCTATATTATAATTTTGAATTCTCTTTCTTGAGTTTTTTCAAGAGCTATATTGTCATCCCCGTTAAAGCATACATATAACATTTTTTTAAATATTATTTAATTCAATTTTCCTTTTTTATTTAATTTTAAATCTTGAGATATCAAAACAAATTTAAAGTATCAGTATTTTTTTAGATAAGCTAAACTTTACTGTTTTACAATATTAATTAACATGAATTTTACACTTTACATTTTAACATACTATAAATGATATATATATTTTAGTTCAGATCATTGATTTCATATATTAAAATATTATTTATTTAATTGATTATAAATAGATGTAATAAACCTTCATTTGGAAGCATGTTAATTAAATGTGATTATAAATTCACTATAATTACTTGATCTGTTAGTTGTTTTTCATTTAAGAAGTCTGAAATTCGTCGTACATAATTTTATATAGTAACAAGATTTGACATGTCACCAACTATAAGGTACGATTCCTTTCATTTCTTACGTCTTCATTTTTTCTCTTATACTCAAATTACAAAACGACATAAATTATTATTTTATTATAATCTTTTATTTATATTAATTATTATTATTATTTTAATATAATATTTTACTTTAAAAAGTAGTTGTTTAGGTAAAAAGAAGTGAATGTTAAAACAATATTTTTCTTTTTCAAAGATGATCAAATATACATATTTTCCTAAAAGTAAGAAATTTGGGACATTATTAGATTAGAAAAATTATATCATTTTTCTCTCATTTTTACAAAAGAATACGTTATACAAAAGTGTTTTCTTTTTTAACTTTTCATTCCAACAGGTTTAAAAGAATTTAACAAGTTTAGAAAGAAAAATTAAGAAAGTTTAAGCAGTTGTTTGGTTTGCAACAGTTTGATGAATCGGTAACAATGTCAATTTTAAAGAGAAAACATCAAATAATAGTTTAATATATAACTCTAACTTTTCTCTTTTATGTATATGGATTCGGGTATTCTTTTGGTTTTTTTATAAATAAATCTTTTTCTTTGCTTATAAGAAAAACTAAAAAAATGTACTTTTTGTAACTGAATTAAGTCAAAACGTAAATTCGAAAAGAGAGTGATGACATTTGTCCTAGTTCTTTTAATTATATATATATATATATATATATATAATATCGATAAGTGCAAAATTTTATAATTTTAACCATATGGATAGATAAGTTATGCTTACATAAAAAACTCGACTTTGGTTAGTCTTAATTTTTTTTTTTTATTAAACTAAAGTGAGTAGAGGTGAAATGATTTCGATATATTTAATTTGAATTAAACACAGTGTATGAATGAAAAAGTTGTGTGGATCAAAAACGATTTTGATTAGCCTTAATTATTTTTTCTATTTGAACTAAAGTTGTGCATAGGTGAAATGGTGTTAGTATACTTTTATTTAAATTAAATTAAAGATAACACGACTTTAATGTATTTTGATTTGAATTAAAGTTATACAAGTTTAACATAACTCCTCGATAAAAAAAATAGTACTAAGATTAATCAAAATTGCATTTGATTTACAAAACTTCCTCGTTTATACATAAGTCGTGGTTATAAAATTTCATTTTGGAGTATATAAAGTTGTGTTTTTATAACACAACTTTTTAAAATTTAAAATACTTGTAAAACTTTATAATTGTTCATTTTCGTAATTTTGATAAAAAAAATACACCAATATGGTAAATTTTCCTTCAATATATGTATTTATCTCGTTAGGTGTTCATGTTATGTTGTTTATACTTCTATTATTTTCCTTTCCTAATTAGTAAATGTTTGCACAATGCAGAAAAATTGCACATATGTGATCACCATAGAAACCACATGTACATGGGGAGCTGAAACCTCAAATCTTGTGAGTCTAAGGTTTGGTGACACAAACTCCAATGGCATATTGGTGAGACACCTAAACTCCAAGCACTTAAGAAAAGTTGACCCTTTGGATCCTAGGGTTCTTGATGACATGCCAAGGAAACCATTCCAAGCATGCATGGTGGACCAATTTGAGGTCACAGCACCATGTGTTGAGTCTCCCATCTGTTATTTATATCTCAAGCTCGTTGGAAACGATGATTGGAGACCAGGTTTTGCTCAGATTCAAGTTCTTGAAGGCTCTCATCTCAATTCTGATTATTTTTATTTTAGAAGATTTGTGCCTAGACATGTCTGGCATGGCTCTGATGTGTGTGATAGTGAGGTTACACCCTTTGGACTCAAGAAGAAGAAAAAGGTTTCTGTGAACATTCCATGAGTTTAGTCATGTAATTTCATGTTACTTTTTATTTTCATTTTCGATCTTTCTTTTGACTAAGTGAGGAAAAAAAATTGGTTCTTCTTAATGTTTAAACTAACTGAATATTGTCTTTAAAGTAAAGAGTAAATGTATAGTAGTGTTGTAAAATGTACCTTACCTTACCAACAAATAACGTAATAAACTAGGGAGAGTGTTAAGGACATGATTTTTTTGTTATTGTTTTTTTTTTGTCAAAAAACGATTTTTCATTTGATGAGTTGATTTGTTAAAGTTATTTGAAAATCAAATTTATTTTGTTGTGACGGCCATTATGTTGTGATGAGTCTTTATGTTTTTTATTTTAAGGGAGAAGTAATTAAGAGATTATAGACATGTAACATTGAGTCTCATCTCATAAAAATTGATATCATTTTTTAATTTAAAATCTCAACCCAATAAGTTTATGTTATTATGGTTGTGTTGTTTTTACACGTTACTTCAAAATTTCGGATTAAAAGTGATGTAATTCTTTATATAAATTAGACTCATATATATATATATATATATATATATATATATATATAATCTCTTCCTAATAACTTTTTTCTCGAAAGAAAAAATAAAAAATAATCACACCATTATTCTCCACATGTGTTTCATTCTTCTTATTTGTTATGATGTAATTCACTTTTTAAATCTTTTGTTCTGCTGCTATTTTATTCATAATGTTATAATTGTTATTACTTAATTACTTTGTAGAAAAATGTTATGAATTAAAAAATAACAAACTTTTAAATATATTTACTGGTTCGTTAACATCTTGAAGATTGTAAAGTCCATATTTAATCATTAGAGGTCAGAAAGGAGTTCTTTGTCAGTCAATAATCTAAATAAAATGTTTGAGTTAGACCAGCAAAATTAAAAGAAATTTCTTCTAATTAGACTTGAGATCAAGCTTAATTTTACCAACCACAACTTATAAGTCTAAAATTTTTATATTAAATAGCTAAGTATTATATTATTATTATTTAAGGGGAAAATATAATATTTTAATCCCACTGTGATAAAAAGTTTTTTACCAACTTTTCACCAGTTTTCTAATTCTTTGACTATTTTTATTTTTAATCCTATAATTGATATTATTGATTTTGTTATGTTTTTATTCTTTGACTAATTGTGATTTTTCTTTTCCAATTCCTTGTTAAAATAACAGACGAAAATGTAATCCAGAATGGACCAAGTTAAAATGGGTCATAGCAACCCAAATTTATACAGCTGTTTCTTCCTGCACCTCCTTTTTTTTTCTTCTTCTCACTCCTAAAATTATATATTCTAGTTTTACCTTTATAAATTTATAATTAAATATGAGAAGTTAACCTTGTCATTATCTATATTAACCGACTGCTCCCAAACCTCCCTTTCTTCACCTTCTTCTGGTGAGGATGAAGGGTATGGCGTTTGGGGTTTTTTAAGTAAGCTATGAATTACATAATCTGAAATATGTCATCAGATTTTGAAAACATGTTCTGAATTAAAGATTCTGAAACATCTTTGGAAGTACACATTTCGGAATGAGTAATCTGAAATACAATTCTAGATTCAGCTAGACAATCAGATTGAGCATTTCAGAATATAAACATATTTTTCAGAATATAGAATCCGAAACGTGGTTCCAAATTCAAACTATATTCCGGATTGATGAATTCAGATAATATTATTATTTTTTGGGTTAAATATGTTTTTAGTTCTTAAACTATTGGCTGTTTCTGGTTTTCGTCTCTCTTTCAAAGTAAAGTATAATTTGGTCCTCATTCTTTTCGAAACGTTCGTTTTAATCCTCGAAAACTAAACACTGTTTAAAAATTTGGTCCTCATTTAGCAACAAATGAGGACTAAAACCAAAGTTCCAAAGACTAAAACGAACGTTTCGAAAAGAATGAGGACCAAATTGTACCTTACTTTGAAAGAGGGACGAAAACCAGAAACGACCAATCGTTTAGGGACTAAAAACATATTTAACCCTTATTTTTTGAAACCTCTAATTCAATATATGCAATTTTGAGTAAAGAATTGTTTTATGATCTTGCAAACATCCAATCCAATGATATCATATAGGACTATGAAGAATGTACCACCGAAACATACAACAATATTACGAGTAAGGAAAAAAACAACAACTTTTATCTCTTAATTGGATTCTCTTTATCAAAATATGTTACTTTGGATAAGAAACCTTAAAGCTGATTCTGGAGTGAACAAACAAAACATGTGTTTGCTGGAAACTTCCCCACTGGAGATTTCCTTGATACATCATTCTCAGCAATAACTCCATCATCGAAGTGTTGTATTTGGTTTTACGGAAAGCTCCATGGTGTTTTTCAAGGCTAGAAAGACTAAGTTCTGATACGTTCATGATTATGTTTTGTAAGGCTGATTGATTATTTATCTCAATTTAGTTCAATATTCGGTTTGTTGTTGGTTTAAGACTGTAATTCGAAAACCATGATGAATGTTTTAACTAATATGATGCTTATGCTTCTATTGGTCAACTTATATTTCCATTTCAGCTTGTATTAAAACGCTGGCCCACAATAGGAACAGTAGAGGCCAAAAGCCTTCAGTCAAGATACGAAAAAGTTAAGTTTCACTAGAGACTTCTCCTCATCAAAATGCAAGTGGGGCTCAAGGCTATGTGACACGTGATGGAAAAAGGAATGCGTGTTGTTTCAAGAAGCTATTCCAGCGAGGCAGACAGTGGCACTGCTTGGTCAGAAAAGAATGGCAGGATTCAATGAGAAGACGCAGTGATAAAAGGTAAGAAAAAAATGTGTCTTTTCTTATTACAGTAGTGTTTATTTCGAAGCTTTCTTTTCTTCTACTTCTTCTTACAAAAGAAAATACTGGAACCCCGTTATATAGGGTTCCGGTGAGTACAAAAGGACACTGGGATAATTAATTATCCCTAACAGAAAAACAAAAATACTAAACAAAAAATTAATAGCCTCCCTTCAAGCTGGATGGTGGATATTCACTAATCCAAGCTTGGGAATGATAGATCTGGAACGAGTACGATGAGGGAACTTGGTGAAGACATCGGCAAGTTGTTCCTCTGAACAAATGGGTAGAAGATGCAGAAAGTTGGCTTGGATCTTCTCACGCACGACGTGACAATCCAGCTCAATGTGCTTGGTCCGCTCATGAAAACTTTGGTTATAAGCAATGTGTCTGGCGGAGTTGTTGTCACAGTAGAGAACAACGGTAGTACTACTAGGTTGAACTTGAAGGACTTGAAGAAGGTAATGCAACCATTGCATCTCAGAAACGGTGGAAGCAAGGGCACGATACTCTACTTCAGTAGAGGATCTCGAGACAGTGCTTTGTTTCTTTGACCTCCAAAAAAACAAGGAAGGACCCTAGGAAAACACAATAACTAGTGATAGATCTTCTGGTGTTGGGGCATGTGGCCAAATCCGAATCACTAAACCGTTTAATTTGTATTTCTGAATCAGCAGCAAAGAAGAGCCTTTTTGAAGGACTGGATTTAACATATCTTAGGATATTGTAGTGCCTGATAGTGATAGTCAGTAGGTTCCTGCATGAATTGGCTTAATAAATTAACAGTAAAACATAAGTCAAGTGTAGTATTAGTGAGGTAGAAAAGCTTCCCTATCAATCTGCGATATATACTGGGATTATCTATATAATTCTTTGTCTTATACAAAAAGTTAGTGTTGCTCAAAAAAGGGGTAGAGCATGGCTTGCTTCCCAGCATTTCTATTTCTTTTAGGATGTCAAGAGCATACTTTCTTTGACAAAGGTGTATCCCCTTTTTGGACCTAGCAACCTCAAATCCCAAGAAATATTTGAGTTCTCCTAGATCCTTTATTTGGAATTCATGATGCAAAAGAGTCTTCATGTGGTTGATCTCACTCATAGAGTTTCCTATTAAAACAACATCATCTACATACATAAGTAAAGCCGTGAAATTTGTGGGGATTTTCTTGATAAAAAGGGTATGGTCAGACTTGGATTGAACATAGTTAGCAGAAATAAGAAAAATGGATAATTTCTCAAACCACTGTTTGTTGGCCTGTTTTAAGCCATACAGAGATTTTTTTAGCTTGAAGACTAGTCCCTTTGTGTTAATGTTTAAACCAGGGGGAGGATCCATGTAAACTTCCTCATTTAGGTCTCCATGCAAAAAATCATTGTCCACATCAAGTTGATGTAAGAACCAACCTTTTGAGGCAGCAAGAGCAAGTAAAAGTCTGACAGAAGTGAGTTTAGCAACAAGTGAAAAAGTATCAAGAAAATTTATTCCCTCTTGTTGGGTGTAGCCTTTAGCAACCAATCGTGCTTTATACCTTTCCACAATACCATCAGCTTTGTGTTTTACCTTGTAAACCCATCTACATCCAATGGGTTTCTTTCTAGGGGGAAGTTGAGTGGAATAACAAGTATCATTATCTTGTAGGGCTTTGATTTCCTTCTTCATAGCTTCAGTCCATTCAGGACTATTTTTAGCCTCATCATAGGAGTTGGGTTCCTTGCTAGCAGTTATGGCAAGGGTGTACCTTAAATGTTTGTCTGACAAAGAATCATAGGATAAAATATNAATTTGGTCCTCATTTAGCAACAAATGAGGACTAAAACCAAAGTTCCAAAGACTAAAACGAACGTTTCGAAAAGAATGAGGACCAAATTGTACCTTACTTTGAAAGAGGGACGAAAACCAGAAACGACCAATCGTTTAGGGACTAAAAACATATTTAACCCTTATTTTTTGAAACCTCTAATTCAATATATGCAATTTTGAGTAAAGAATTGTTTTATGATCTTGCAAACATCCAATCCAATGATATCATATAGGACTATGAAGAATGTACCACCGAAACATACAACAATATTACGAGTAAGGAAAAAAACAACAACTTTTATCTCTTAATTGGATTCTCTTTATCAAAATATGTTACTTTGGATAAGAAACCTTAAAGCTGATTCTGGAGTGAACAAACAAAACATGTGTTTGCTGGAAACTTCCCCACTGGAGATTTCCTTGATACATCATTCTCAGCAATAACTCCATCATCGAAGTGTTGTATTTGGTTTTACGGAAAGCTCCATGGTGTTTTTCAAGGCTAGAAAGACTAAGTTCTGATACGTTCATGATTATGTTTTGTAAGGCTGATTGATTATTTATCTCAATTTAGTTCAATATT